CTAGTAAGTCATTGACCTGTATGTTATTTTTCATACATTCACGCTAAACCATTCAAAGGAGATCAATCCACATTCTTGCACAAATATTCGCCAAACCTTCATCTCTATTTAATACTACATGATCTTTTTTGTTTTATTATTTCTAACGATTCACGAATATTATTAGCTATTACACTTTTAGGTTGAGCTAATATTACAGTTTTTTCCCATAATATTGTGTGTTGTGTTTCCTGTACATGTTCTGCTATGGATGAATTTTCAGTTTTTTATTTTTGACATATCCCTTATGCTCATTTAAGTGGTATTTTAAATTATGTTTTGTCTGACCAATGTAAATACTTCCATATTCACATTCTATTTTATATATTCCAGTTTTTTCAGTTAAATGTATTTCGTCATTATATAATGCATTACATTCCAATGCCAATGAAAATGTTTCTTGGGCTAGGATCTACTCAAATGTCAACCAAGTCTCAAGGAGATAGAGGTGGAATGAATACTAGTGGAATGCCAGCCATCATGATGAGGAAGCCTGAAGCCTCCTATGCTGTTATTACCACTGTGATGGTAGCATACACAAGCTAACCAGCTTTTGGTCTTCACCTCTGCTACCACCATTATGCCAGGAAGTTAAAGTGAATGAGGTTGCTTTCATTTCATAGGCAGGAAGTTTGTACACCTCCGAATCTTGGCAGATTCGGAAGCAGCCCCAGAAAATATTGATGGTAGGACTCTCATCCAAGCCACATAAGGTTATCATTAACCACCCTATGTTAGAGCAGGTTACAGTACTCAAAAGATGGCCACCAACTGGAGTAAAGCATTGTCTTTCCTAGAAGAGAGGGGGATTGACTGTGGTTCGAAGAGGAGGTGTGCTGCTTGCAGGTCAAGCTAGCAAATACTGGGAGAACCAGTCAAAGAAGAGATGATCTTCAGACTACAATGTTGCTCAATGGCAAACAAAATAGCAGCAATGGTGAATATACCGGTAGGGTTCAATTAATGGGGATCAAAACCTCAAGCAGGTTATGGGTAAGTGTAGGTTTTATATATATATAAATTTATTGTAACTAAATTTTATATTTTGTATCCCTTTTCTTTTCATTTTCTCTGTATTCTTTCTTGTTTTTTTATTTCCTTTTTTATTATGTTTATGTATTTTATACAAACAAGAGGGAATTCTCAATAGCTGAGGCACTTGAAATTCTTCTAGGCAGGATTAGAGTAAATTAATCTATGAGACCTTGGGTATGGTCAAATACATCAGTTGAAAGGGTTTGACCTCCTAAGTCCAAAACTGTAACTAGATCTCAAATCTGTCAAGAGATGACGGAGCTATGAATTAAAGGTTTGCACTTGAAAATACAAAACAAAAACTCTGAGCAATTCTATGAACTACTATGCCATGGCTAAAAATATGTTAAATATGTTTTTTCTATATATATATATTATGAGAACAGTTAGTTCACCAAGTTTTTTTTTCATTAGAGATAAAAGGTTCAATTTTCTAGTGGTGTCAAACTTTTTCATATAAAAGGATTTATTATTATTATGTCTTTAGCTTTTTTTTAATTGAGTAAAGGGTTTCATTTTGGCTTTCTTTTATATATGTGCATTCTTAAATATTATGGTGCATTTCTTCACATTACATTTTGCATATTCCAATCATGATTAAGAAGAGCTTAATTTTATAATGCATCAATGTTAGAGGGTATTTATTCCATGTATGTGAAGAAGCATGATCAATTAAACTGCCTCCTTCTAAAGGGGCAGGTGATCTTTGTAGGTTTGCTTTTAATTTTTATTGTTAGCCTTTTTGGTCTGTTTGATAATTCGTTCTGTGTAGTCTGTTAGGCTACCTCCTTCTAAGATGGGTAGGTAAGTTATATTCTAGTTAATTTTTTCATGTATGTGTTACATTTTTATTTCAATCTCCCACAGTAGCAGTTATTATTATTGGTATCTCTTTGTTAAAGTTATAATTTTAACATACTGAAAATGTATTTCCATTAGGTACTTACCTTCACTCACATAAATAGCCATTCTCATTTAGTACTGCCCTCTATATGCAATATTTTTTTGCACATGACTGATTCCAATGCATCTCGCATGCAAATCATAATGCAGCAACCCTTCACCAATAAGAGTTTGACCTACTCTCTCAATGCACGTGACTCCTTCTATTCAATTTTACAAAACTATAATGACATGTTTTGGCAGAAAATGGAAGCCCTGGCTTACATTGGGGAAGAAGGGTGGGAAGTACATGTGGACGTGCATTGTCGTGGAGAAGAAGAATACTTTTCCAATTGACAAGTGAAGGGCTTGATTTAAACGTTCCAGTTGCTGACTATAGATTTTTGCATTGACAGTTCTCTGTGGATTGAGGAGGTCGAAATGAATTACTCCTTCAATGTTCCAGCAAGTGCAAAAAATCACTTTCTGCGGATAGAGTCCAGGTTTTGGGGTCAGAAGTGGTTTTTGTCTAGGACTGAGCCATTGCTTTTGGCATTTAATAATTAGCATAGAGAATCCATTTTTCATCACCAATAACAATTCTGTCCAAAAATGGTTCACGCACATTACACACCAGAAGAGATGAAGCAACGTTCACATGTTGGAAACGATGATCATTGGAGAGTTCATGAAACACCCACACACACCTTCTTTATAAAGTTTTCCCATATTTCTTAGATGTTTATATATTGTTTCATGAGAGACATGCAATTTCATGGCCATCACACAAGTGCGTTGCCTTGGGTTAGACTCAACAAGCGTCTTCAGAGCATCAATATCAATTCCAACATGTCAGCCCCTGCCATCACAGTTTTTAAGACTAAAGTCACCTGAACGAAATTTGCTGAACCATCGTTGATACTTACAAACGTACTTCTTTGATATTATTAGTGGCTAGAGAAGCATTGTTTCCCTTCTTGTATTCAAACAGCATTACATGATGAATGTGTATCTTCGTCGTGTGCCATCACTATAAGGGATTAGAGTATATTAAACTTTACACATTATATTGGCTACACTGACATGACGTTTAGGTGGTTCGTTTAACTATTATATGTGATGTACGTTTTTTTTTGGGGGGGGGGATATGAAAGTGTTCCAAAACCCGACATTAATTTCTTGACAAACTAATACATTATTTGTATTTCATTAACACATTCAGAAGGATGCCTCCACAGTCCACTACCCCAGCTGCTTGGAACTGGAAAGTGGTAAGGACTCTCAAACTCCACAAGAAGAAAGAGAGGGGGGGAGAAAGTATGGTAGAGAGTCCAGAGGAACAACAACTCCTGAAACAGTGGAATGAGTGACCATGAAACCTTATTTTGAAAATCAGACCATACTGATTTATTCAATACAAGATATGGCAGGGATGGGCAGCTATCCCCTTCTGCTTTACCCATGTAGTCCATGGGTGAGTATGGTCTGGGACAGGCATATTAATAAAGCAAATTGTGACAAATATATTTATTTTAATATCAACGTTTGTTTAGATTAAATTTATATTTAAAAACATGCATAGCTTATAGTGTTAAATAAGTATTGTGAAACTCCCGCCTATTCTCTAAAGTTGTAGAAGATACTCGAGTATAAGAATCAACAATATATGTATGTACATAAACGCTTGTGTTAGAGCCAGTATTATTACGTAAAACTGAAATTTCGGAAAAACCTCCACACGCATATAAATATAACCAACACAATGCACTAAA